ACAGGCCAAATCCCACTGATATACGCTAAGGCAATATTTATCAACTCATTACACTATATTTATCAAAACAATACCTAAAAGATAATACATCTGAAGCCAAAAATGATAAAATAGATCAATTGTCAATTGATAATAATGATCAAACTTTAATAAAATATTTCCCATTTCTTTTACCCACAAATAACCCTGCTTTTGAAAAAAAAATATCAAGTATTGCTTGTTGATGATAATAATTATATGAGGTAATAATTTATTTATCCAATTAAGTTATACTTGTGAACTATTTCTTACTATTTGTTATATTTATAGAGATTATTTGACAGACTTGTTAAAAGAATTTGATATACTTCATGCTTGTGATGGTCAAGATGCTATAAGAGTTTTAAAAAAACTTGATAAATTCCCTGATTTAATTCTCAGCGGCAAGTAATTATATAATTACATTATTGAAATTATATATATTATATTATATTATTTATAATAATTATTGAATTATATTTATTAGATATATTGAGGTCTAATACAAAGACTCAATTAATTCCAGTAATATTATTATCAGCAGAAAATGAAGATTCAAAAATTAAAGGTAATTAATACATTAAATTAATATTAATACCTTAAGATAATCAATTTTCATTATTTGATTTTTAATACATCGACTATTTTTATTCAGGTTTATATAAAGGAGCAGATGATTATTTAGTAAAACCATTCTCTGCTCGAGAACTAATTACCCGTATTCGTACTAATCTTGAGTTATCACTTCTTCGTCGTAAAATAATATTCCAAAGATTTGAGCAAGAAAAAACAAAGCAATTACTATTTTCAATCTCGACTAAAATTTTTTCTGGATCAAGTATGAAAGAAATATTACAATATGTTGCTAAAGAAATCTATCATTGGGTATCATGTGAAAGAGTCTTTATTATTTCAAATGAACAATCTAAATTTGATAGAAATAAAATAATTGCTTTATATGAAAGCTCGGAAAATCCACCTATGGAAATTAGTGACAACGACGAGAGTAAATCACAAAATTTTCCTAATTCAAAAGAATTTCTAAATAATAGTTTAGGAATAGATATTTCTTTGGATGTGTACTGTGATAATATTTGTAAAAATGTATCCATGTTATCTGTAGGAATAAGGTTAAATGATGGTCTTTGGGGATGGATAAAAATTCATAGATCGCCAAATTCTATTTGGCTCGATTCTGAGATAGAGTTTTTACAACAAATCTCAAATCAAATAAGTTTATCTATTACTTATATAAATTTATTAGAAGAGAATTTTGAAAAAGAGATTCAAATTAAAGCTGCTGAATTTGCAAATAATACTAAGAGTCAATTTTAGCAAATACTTCTCATGGTATATTATTTCCTTTGCGTACATTCTTAAATTTTTTATCATACTAATTAATTTTAATTTCATAGAATTAAGAACACCATTAGGTGCAATAATAGGAATTCTTACTTCTTTTGATGGTGCTGACTTAACTACTGATCAAAAAGACATGATTAGTATCATGGCACGTGCTTCTGATGTAGTATTATCGATAGTAAATGATGTTCTTGATGCGGCAAAATTAGAAGCACAAAAAATCACACTTGTAAACAGAACATTTGATTTATTAGAATTATTAGACAGCACTGTTGAAATATTTGGAGAAAAAGCGGGAAATAAAAAAATTGAATTGATTGTAAATTATGATGTTGATAAGTTGCCGAGATACGTTAGGAGTGATCCTGAGAGGTGATTAAAACTAATGCAGCTTATAAAATAAATAAATACTTATTCTTGGTTTTTTTTATATCAAATAGGCTGAAAAAAGGTCTATTCCATTTATTATCAAATTCGTAATGATGTTTACATAATGATATTTACCTTTATTATTATTTTTTTTTATAAAATAATAATTCATTATTAATTTTTTAGAGTTAAATATACTGAAAAAGGCGAAATTGTACTGACAATTTCAATATTATCGAAAGAAGATAATGAAGAAAACAAAATGAGTTCGACTTATGGTCAAATGAATAAAAAAGGAATTTTGTTAATTGAATTGTATGACACTGGCATTGGGTGAGCAACTTATAATTATATATTCAATGTTTTAGTATATAGATTATCTAATTGTCATTTAATAATAATAGTATGAATCCTAAATTTATGCAACATGCCTGGAAAAGTTTTTCACGAGGTGATATGTCAATAACCAGGAAACAAGATGGTACAGGACTTGGCCTCTCAATTTGTAAAATGCTAGTAGAAATTAATGGAGGAGAAATTAAAGCAGAAAGCCAGTTAGGAAAAAGAAGCAAATTTTGGTTTACATGGAACATTGAATTATTATCATCGATAACACCAACTATTTCATCGTCGATAACACCAACTATTTCAAAATTCCAAACTTCCTCATTATTCGAGACACAATTTGATAAGCAAATAAATTATACATTACCTAATTTTATAAGAAAAAAACGAATACTAATAATTCATCCAGTCAAAAATATGAGAAATTCAATGTTAAAGTATTTTAAAATTGTTGAAAAAGTTGATGCATTCGATACCTTTAATGAAGGGGTTAAAGCTGCACAAACATGCAAAGAACTGTATAATCAATCTGCTTATGACATAGCATTCATCGGTCTTTATGAAGATAATGAAGAAGAGGTCTTAAATGCTGTATTAGAGTTAAAATCATTAGATATAGATAGTAACAAATTAGTTATATTTTTTAGTGTTTCCGAGTAATGAAGGAAATGGGTTGGCTAGGAAATTGATTAGAAAGCTTGGGAGAATCACCTCTGTTATTTACACTCCAATTACATTAAAAAAGTTAATTAATCAAATTATTCATCTGGAAAAACACATTGCTACTGATAAAAACAATCCAAATTTACAGACCAATGAAAGTAATGATTCAAGTATTCTAAGGCGAGTAGCTGACTATGAGCTTTATAAGATTGGAGATGCAAACCAAGATGTGTATGAGGATGTAACCGAAAGATATTTTGAGAAGAAGTGTATTTTATGTGTGGTATGTGCCTATTGTGGCCAAATAATGCATGCTTGTTTAATATGATACGCTTTAATCAATTGTTTACCAATATTTGTAGGATAATGATTCTAGAACACATTGCAACAAATTTCAAAACTTGGTTATTCAACAATCTCTGCGGCAAATGGTCAAGAGGCGATCGAATTGATTGATTCTGAAGTTAAATTATTAAGAAATTTGTACTCGAGTTCATCTAATTCAGAAATAAATCAAATAAAATCTTGCAGAATATCACTAATATTAACTGAATGTAATTTGGTAAGTTTAATTTGTTAATTATACTACAAGTTAAACCTTGCTATAATCATTTGCTTGGGAAACAAGAATCTGGTGATTATAAAAAGTTGTGACTATGTAAAGGTTGAATTTTAGATGTTTTATAATAGTATAAGTTAAAAAAAATAGCGTGATTATATCAAGGTTATGACTATATCAAGAGTGACTATAACGAGATCCGACTCAGTGTTGGAAATTCAAACTTATTTTAATGTTCTCAACAAAAAATTTTTTACATGTTTATTAATAAAAATTAAAACATTGTTGTTCCTAGAGAACATAGTGAACATTGAATTTCCTACACTGGTCTGACTGTATTACGATAAAATATTCGCAATTTATTAATTTAATTATTATACTCAGCCGATAATGTCAGGGTTTGATATTTCACGAGCAATTAGAGCAATGAGACCACCAATTTCTAATACACCGATCATTGCCCTAACTACTTTATCGGTGGAAGAAATACAAAATGAATGTATCAAGTCAGGTATAAATGATTATCTTGCCAAACCACTGAAAACCGATGAACTTGAAAAAATTTTAAATAAGTGGATTGGTAAAAACTAGCATTAATTACACTTATAAATATTATGAATCTTATAAATATTATGAATTTTATGAATATTAAGAATTTATATAAATATATTGTTTGTAGTAATATGCTTTCAATTTTCTAAACCTTTATAACTATTTATAATTATATTAATCATATGCATTTGTTTTAAAATTTTTAGTTAATAAAAAATTTGCTAATTAATATTAAAAGTTTTTGCTCAATTGTTTTAATCAAATTGTTTAAATATTTTATTTTATTAGCGTACCGTTCCGAAAGGAAGTATCCTTTTTTGCATAATATGAGCCAAAATTGGCATAGCGCGTGCCAGTTGTGCTTAATTTCTGAACGGTACTGTAATTAATTAATTTTAAATTTATTTTTTTTACTATAGTGTTTTGTTATTTTTGCTAAAAGTAGTGATAGTCTAAACCAGGTAGTTTTTAAATTTTATTGTAAATTAAACCTCACGTGACATAAAATACTACGCACCTAGAAAATGTGTACCCGGTGTTATGATAAATTTCTTTATTAAGTTGGTACTATCGGATTAGGACTCGGGCATGTATAATCGAGGCTTAGCTGGATGATTTATCGCTCAACAAGGATGAATAACTCTCAACAAGGGTGAATAGCCCTCAGAGAGAGATTGTAACCCCCAGTAGGGTTAGAAAACCCTTCGAAAGTAAAACGTATAAATATGATGCTCAAACTAATAAGCAAAAGATAGATCGTCATGCTTGTTAGTTAGCCATCTACAATTTTACGTACACTCCTTACCTGGATTTTACTTGATTTTGCCCGTTTGGTAGGTTATTTATTTGTGCATTGTGTTATTCTTTTTTACTATTTCTCGTATTTTGTATCATGTTTGATAGTTGAATCTTAAGCCTTCAGAAAGTGGCCTGCCAGGACGACAGTCACAAAAGTTTTTACATGTTTGTGCATATTATGCTTAGGTAGGTATTGTTTTGATAAATATAGTGTAATGAGTTGATAAATATTGCCTTAGCGTATATCAGTGGGATTTGGCCTGT